ACCCCGGGCCGCTGGCTGTAAGAAGATAAGGTTTTATCCCGCAGAGCCTATTCGCCAAGTTAGCAGTTCCTAGCCTCGGTTTTGCCATTAAATGTCATCAACGGTTCTGACGTGTATGTGCAGTGGTCACAGCCGCTCCTGACACTTCCTTTCATGATTAGGGGCGGGGTTCAGGCTACTGCGCTTCGATGAGGGGTGTTAGTTGCCGAGCTGGCATTCCACCACCAAGACCGAGGCCGCTTCTCAAGGGCAAGTGACATCTTCCCAGGAGGGTCATTTCCAGCAGCGTGTTCATCGGCCACAGTCTTGGTCAGCTGCTGCCGTGTAAGCTGCAGGACTGACGTGTGTACTTAAATTAAGACCCAAATACCTCCTGCCTGGCATAGAGCCCGCACAACTGATCCCGATGCTGACACCCTCAGCTCATACGGCTGTCATCAGGGCGCTAAAATAACGCCAGTGTTCTGCACCAGACCCGGTTCCCCTGCGTGAGTTTGAAAGGCCATTGTTCTCTCCCCACTTTACACTTCCTATTGTCACCACCTCTCTTCCCTCTGAATCTTAGCTAAAACTTCCACATTTGGAAGAATGGAACTATAAAGAAATAAAGTACAGGGTGAAACAAGCCAGCCATCAGGCCAGGAAGAGAACACCTAGACGTGACTTGTAAATAGAGTCTTCATCTACAGTTACCGTTTGTTGTCAGCCAACAATGGTACTGCCTTGTCTCTTCAAGTTACACTTTCCAACACATTAAGAAAACACTTGGGTAGACGCCTCGGAACAAATGAGCAAGTGCTTTGACCCTTGGGACAGGTTCCAGGCCTCACAGCCCTGGGGTACAAGGCCAAGGACACGCCTAGGTCGGAGGAGAGAGGCTGTGGGGTTTAGCAGGCTGCAGCCTCCCTGCTGAGACACCAGCTGGTGCCTACAACAGCACTGCCTGTAGCCTCTTAAAATGCTTTTAAAATTATAAATGACTCAAAGTCTGGAAAACAGAAAAGAAATGCTGTCCAGAGCCCACCACCCTAAGTAACATACAGTAATTGCTTCTCATGTCTAACGTCACACAGGCAATTTGTTCTTCTATGGGCTGTGCTTTTGGTGCTGTATCTAAAATATTTGCTTAATTCAAAGTTTCACTTCCTGCATTTTAAGCTCACAAAGTTATTTTCGTAAATATAATTCATTTATTTGCCCCTGCCTACACTGTGGATCAAAGGCTCCTTTTACACTTTCTTTTAAAATCTCTTTCCTGTGACCTAAGTGAAAATATGCGATCCCTCTGGGGTGAGTTGGTTGGTTTAAGATAAAACACATACTCTCAACAAAATGGGTATAGAAGGAACATATCTCAACCTAATAATGTCTATATATGACAAACCCATAGCTAACATACTCAATGGTAAAAAGCTGAAGCTTTCCCTCTAAGATTAGGGACAGCAAAAGGATGGCCACTCACCACTGTTATTCAACACTGTACTGAAGTCCTAGCCAGAGCAATCAGGCAAGAAATAAAAGGCATCCAAACTGGAAAGGAAGAAGTACAACTGTCACTCTTTGCAGATGACATGATACTAAATAGAAAAAATCCTAAAGACTCCACTAAAAAACTATTAGAATACACGAATTCAGTAAAGTTGCAGGATACAGAATCAATACAAAGAAATCTGTTGTGTTTCTATGCACACATAACAAACAGAAGGGGAAATTAAGAGGACAGTCCCACTTATAGTTGCCTCAAAAAGCTTAAAATACCTAGGAGTAATTTTAATGAAGGAGGTGAAAGGCTTGTACTTAGAAAACTATAAGACACTAAAGAAAGAAACTGAAGAAGATACAAGTAAATGGAAGGATGAACCTTGCTCATGGGTTGGAAGGATTCATATTGTTAAAATGTTAATACTCCCTAAAATAATATACAGATTTAATGCAATTCCTATCAAAACACCAAAAGCATTCTCAGAGCTAGAACTAATTCTAAAATGTATATGGAACCTCCAAAGAAGTCAAATAGCCACAGCAACATTGAGAAAGAAAGCTGGAGGTATCACACTCCCTGACTTCAAAATATACTACAAAGCTACAATAATCAAAACAGTATGATACTGGCATAAAAGCAGACACACGGATCAACTGATCAACTGAAGAGAGACAAATAAATCCTCATTTATATGGTCAATTAATCTATGACCACTTTCTTACACTATATACAAAAATAACTCAAAATGAATTAAAGACAACATACGCAGTAAACTCTTGACATTGCTATTAGCAATATAATTTTTGATATGTCTCCTCAGGCAAGGGCAACAAAAGAAAAAAACCAAACTACCCTAAACTAAAAAGTTTTTGCACAGTGAAGGGAAACCATCAACAAAACAAAAATACAACCAATACAACCTACTGAATGGGAGAAGATATTCACAAATGATACATCCAATAAGGGGTTAATATCCAAAAAATATAAAGAACTCATACAACTTAACACTAAAAAAACAATCAATTAAAAAATGCGCAGAGGACCTGAACAGACATTTCTTCAACGAGGACATACAGATGGCCAACAGACATGAAAAGATGCTCATCACTCATCATCAGGGAAATGCAAATCAAAACCACAATGGGGTACCATGTCACTCCTGTCAGAAAGACTATCATCAATAATTCAACAAACAGCAAGTGTCTGTGAGGATGTGGAGAAACGGGAACCCTCGTGCACTGCTGATGGAAGCTGTAAACTGGTGCAGCCACTATGGAAAACAGTATGGAGGTTCCTCAAGAAATTAAAAATAGAGCTACCTTATGACCCAGCAATTCCACTTCTGGGTATTTATCCAAAGAAATCCAAAACACTAATTCAAAAAGATACCTGCACCCCTAAGTTCACTGCAGCATTATTCACAATAGTCAAGACATGGAAGCAACCTGGGTGTCCATCAACAGACGACTGGATACAGAGGAGGTGGTGCATTTATACAATAGAGTGCTGCTCAGTCATAAAAAGAATGGAATCTTGCCATTTGTGACAACACGGATCGACCTAGAGAGCATCATGCTCAGTGGAATAAGACTGAGAAAGATAAATACCGTGTGATTTTACTTGTATGTAGTATCTAAAAAACCAAAACAAAATAAAATAAGCAAAACAGAAACAACCTGTGGATACAGAGAAGCTGCTGATGGTTGTGAAAATGGAGGGGGTGGGGGTGGGAATGAAAAAGAAAAAAAGAATCTGTCTTGAGAAAACCCCATAAATTCCCTTTCCTCATAGAGTTTATATTCCAGTGAGATGAGAAAGCTCCTAACAAGCAGGATAATTAAAAAATGTACGGTGTATTAGAAAGGGCCGCGGGCCGCAGAGGCAGCAGCACTCAGGACAAGAGGTTAGGCGTTCTGGGGGCGCGATGGACCCAGTAAGAAGCTGGGGGGGTCGGGGGAGAGGCACCCTGCGGGTACAGGAGGCGGAAAGCACAGCCCAACAGAAAAAACGTGCCAAGTGAAAGACGACCAAATAGAGCACGTATTGTAGAAATCCGTGTACAGGTCATTCTCAACAATGCGAGCCTCGGGAGGGACAAGCAGGCCAGTGCTGCCTGGAGACGGGGGCGTCGGGGCACCAGCGCACCCGGCAGGACGGAACCCGGCAGGACGGAACCCGGCAGGACGGAACCCGGCTTACACCTTGGCCGTGCCTGTGGCTTCGTGGTGCAAACATGTCCAAATACAAGGAACTGCCCACTGTCAGTCCGCGCAGCTCAAGCGTCGCTCCACAAAGCAGTCGAAACTGCACTGGACCGAGCCGAGGCCGCAGACCAGGCCCAGCGCGGCCGCGCCTCCCGGCGCCTCGGGCCGCGGGGCGAGCCTGTGTCCTGTCCGCAGGGCCCGTGCCGGCCGCCGCCCTTGACAGCAGGGCGTGCGAGGCGCCGAGCGAGCGGGGGGAACCGCCTCCGTCTCCACGCTGAGCGAGAAACGCCCGACACGGCGGGGCTCAGGGGCCTCCACGTCTGTGAAAAGCCGGGACCCACAGCGCTCGGCGACACGGCGGCCGGGCGACCCGCCAGGCCCCGGCCGAGGGGTGGCGGGCGCCCCGCTCTGTACACGCGCCGACACTCAGCCGCGGGCGCCGGGCGCGGGTGGGCGTCACGCGTGTAACTCACCCGTCACAGTGCCGCCGGCCGCAGGGACCGCGCCTCGGTCTCGCCTCTCCGCCACCTGGAGGCCGGCGCCGCAGACGCCCCGCGGCCCCGCTCGCCGCGCTCACACGCTCCGAAGCCCACACGCACGCGTGTTTCTATGGCAACCGGCTGGCGGCGCGCTCAGCCCAGCTCCGCCATTTACTGTCATTTCCCGGGGCACCTGGCGGCTGACCCGCGATAGAAGATGGGGCTCCTGGCGAGACGTGAGACTGTGGGGCGCAGGGCAGCCGGCCCCACGCTTTAGGGGTGTCACAATCCCCGGCGGTCGACCCCGGACCCCTCCTGGCCCGATTCGTGGCCCCGGGCTACGGCCTGGTAAGTGGCGATGCTAACGGGTGTCCAGGTGACGGGAGCGAGGCGCAGGCAGAGGGTGCAGCGCGCGAAGGCGGCTCGGGGCCCACGCGGGGTCCACGCCCGCGCGGGGCCGTCCCTGAGCGCGTCCGCAGTCCGTCCCCGTCAATCACAGACTCTGGGCTCAGGCGGCAGCCCCCGCTTCGGAGGCTTCCGAGGGGACCGTCCCCGCGGGGCCTCGGCCCAGATCCCAGCCCAACCTCCAGCCTCTCTCCCCCAAGGTGAGCCCCAGGCAGGTGGCCTCGCTGCCGGCCCTGTGACCTTCTGTGGGGGGCTCGTGCCGCCTGGTGCCCAGAGAGGCCACCAGAGCCAGCTGTGGGAGACCCTCAGGGCGGAGGCCCAGGGTTCTGAGGCTGGATTCGCGGTGAGGTTAAATCTAAGGAGAAAAAGAGCAGTTTCTAAATATGGCAATTAATTATCAACTCATATAAAGACAGGCATACAGAATAATTATAATAAATATATTTATTAAGTTTCAAACACCAAAGCATAAATGTTAATATCTGATTGTGGAAAATACATACAGCATTTTCCCCTTGTGTTAGCATATATATTTGGCTTCTGGAAATAATAAGCACTTAAAATGAAATCTTTTAGGCACTTGGGTGTAGAAAGTGCTAGAGAATAAAATACAATTTTACTTTACCATTACTTACAAGAGAGCAACCAAAATTGTATCTTATTAAATATTCTATTTCAACACTGTTAGCATTACTGACCTAAAAAAATACTGTGACCAAATATATCACATAACATTTTAAGTTCCATAACATTTTAAATGGGAAAATTTTCACTGATGATAGTTCTTAAGATTTCAAATTCCTTTTAGTCTGTTCACTGAGACAGTAAATGTCAGTAGTCAGAATCTAAAGAAAAAATGGAATTTCTTTTTAATCCCTTTGGCTTTAAAAAAAATGGTCGGGAACTCTCTTGGTGGACATTTAAGCCACACAGACCCGACAATCCACGAACCTAGCAGTGGCCTTAGGAGAGCACGCGAGAGCTGATGTGGCCGCCAGTATGCACAGCTCACAGTTTTAATTTCCAGTTAGCTGTAGATCTTTGGTGGACTTCTCAAGGAACTGTATAAAAAGACATAAAAACATAGAGCCACTCAGTGAATGTTACTTCATAAGCTGCTGAGTTTGAAAAGCTTCCCAGGAGAAAACTGGACTCTTTTCTTAGGAAATACATTCTTCTCGCTGTCAGTCGTCTTCTGAGCATCTCAGGCTGCTGACAAGAAGGTGCCCTGCTAGGAGGCTCAAAGGCTACAAATCCTGGGGGAACTGAGGAGGCGGGGGGTGAGCATGAGGTCTGCGTCGGAGCCCATCCCAGCTGCAGCCATGCAGCTCCGGTCACTGTGCAGATGCCCTGGGCTGTACGTGCTGCAGGAGCTGCTCACAGTAGGCGGGAGAGCGATGCTTGTGCATGACGGCCTCCGTCTCTGTCACCAGCAGGTCAGGGAACAGGACACTACCTGCTTTGAGGACCTCTGTAAAACAGCAAACACCCTTCAAATGCCAGAAATAAGTATTAAACCAATACGAGGCTATTGTCACCAGATGGCAAGGTCCTGGCATAAAAGCAGACACACGGGTCAGTGGAACAGACTGGAGAGGCCAGAAATTAGCCTACGCCTATAGGGTCACTTAACCTACGACAGACAATGGGGGTAAAGGCAGTCTATTCAATAAATGGTGCTGGGAAAACCAGACAGACACACACAAGAAAAATCAGACCATGTTCTTACGCCATATACAAGAATCAACTCCAAATGGATTCAAGACTTAAATGTAAGACCTGAAACCATAAAACTAGAAAAAAAACATAGGCAGTAAATGACATCACTCTTAGCAATATTGTTTTGGATATGTCTTCTCAGGCAAGGGCAACAAACAAACGAACAGAAAACAAATTGGACTACTTCAAACTAAAAAGTTTTTGCTCAGCTAGGGAAACCATCAAACAAAACAAAAATACAACCTACTGAATGGGAGAAGATACTCACAAATGATACGTCCAATAAGGGGTTAACGTCCAAAATACATAAGGAGCTCAACATACCACCAAAAAAAACAAACAATCTGATTAAAAAGTGGGCAGTGTATTAACCAATGTCACCCCAATACATTTAATTTTTAAAAAATGGCAGAGGACTTGAACAGACACTTCTCCAAAGAGGACATACAGATGGCCAATAGACATATGAAAAGATGCTCAAAGTCACTAATCATCAGAGAAATGCAAATTAAAACCACAATAAGATATCACCTCACAGCTGTCAGAACGGCCATCATCAATAAATCAACAACTATTGGTGAGGATGTGAAGAAAAGGGAACCCTCGTGCACTGCAGGTGGCACTGGTGCAGCCACTATGGAAAACAGTATGGAGGTTCCTCAAGAAATTAAAAATAGAACTACCTTAGGACCCAGCAATTCCACTTCTGGATATTTATCCGAGGAAATCAAAAACACTAATTCAAAAAGATACCTGCACCCCTAAGTTCACTGCAGCATTATTCACAATAGTCAAGACATGGAAGCAACCTGGGTGTCCATCAACAGACGACTGGATACAGAGGAGGTGGTGCATTTATACAATAGAGTGCTGCTCAGTCATAAAAAGAATGGAATCTTGACATCTACAACAGCATGGATGTACCTAGGGGGTATTGTGCTCAGTGAAATAGGTCAGAGAAAGACAAGTACCATATGATCTCACTTATCTGTAGAATATAAAGAACAAAACAAACAAACAAACAAAACAGAGCCAGACTCACAGACACAGAACAAACTGATGGTTGCCAGCTGGGTGGGGGTTGGGAGGCTGGGTGTAAAAGGGGAGGGTTAGAAGGCACGATTGGCAGTTACAAAAGAGTCACGGAATGTAAGTACAGCCTAGAGAAAATAGTCAATGATACTGTACTAACTAAACATGGTGGCCAGCGGGTACCAGACTAATGGGGGGATCACTCTCTAGGCTCCGTAAATGTGTAACCCTACACTGTACACCTGGAACTGATGTAACACTGAATGTCAGCTGTGACTGAAAACTAAAAAGCGACACCCACTGGGACTGCTGCCGCGTTAGACTTGGCCTACTATCTGTTTCCTGCTTGTCCCTGTTTCTGTTTCCTCTTCCTTCTTTCTTGACTTCTGGGTTATTTGAATATTTTTAGAATTCTACTCTAATTAAAATCTACCTGTTGGCATTTTCCTTGTACTTTGCATCACACTCTCAGTGGCGTCTCCAGGGCTTTCTGCAGATGCACCGCGCTTCCCAGTGCTCACTGAGCCCGACCTGTAACTGCTGTGTGGAAAGGGAGTTCAGCGTGGTGACAAAGGGCACTGGCGAGACGGGGACACGGAGTCGCTAGGAGGGGGTGCGGCATCATGAGGCTGAGTTGCTGCTGAGCCAGAAACACCTTGACTCAAAAGAATGAGCAGGTGACAAACGACTGACCAAGTCAGGTATGCAGACTTGGGAACTCGGCCAAACATATTCTTGAAAATGAGTGAAGTGGCAGTATTTGTGGCCAGTGATAACATTTAAGCTTTCAAGCAGAAATTACAACCACAGAAACCTCGTTTCTGCCACCATAAGCCTGCCTGCTTTCCAAAGCTTTTCTTCCCAAGACTTCTCTAAGCTCGATGCTAACAAATGTGACACGTCAACACTCAGAAGAGATGCACAACTCAATGGTGACACCTTCCGAGTGGCCAGAGCAGGGTGCTACCAAAGCACACATGGAAGTGACAGTGGCCTCAGAGTCTCCCTCCGGGTAAGCGGCCGGGGCCAGGATCGGAGAACCCCCTCCTCTGAAGCAGCCAGGAAATGTTTCTCGCACTCCCATCTGCGAGGCCAGGGCTTCCACGTACTTCAAACGAAACAACACCTATGACGAATGACCGACACAGATGCAGACAAGACAATCTCACTGCCTCGTACCAGGCTGGACATTAAAGAGATCTGCAAACGTGTACAACAGTGATACCCTTCTTGCTCATTATTTTGTTTTGGAAAATGTATCTTTGACAGACATATGCTATTAATGATAATATGGAATGGGCTTCCGCTTTCAACACAGGGATGAATACGTTAAACCAGCTCTGGTTTAGTTTCTGTTAAGGGCTGTCACCCACAGAGACCATGCTCTCGGGGTGTCCTGGGCCTGGAGCCCTAAGGTCTCCACCGCCCCGCCAGCGGCGTCCCCTGCAGCCGACTGTGGAGATGGTGCTGACACATGCACACAGGTGTCAGTCAGAGCGCACGGACGCTCACCCAAGACCGCGTCCTGGACAGTGCTCTCGGCGTCATCCAGGTACACGAGCAGCTCCCTGTACAGGTGCTGAATGTCACTCTGGGACTGAGACTTCCCGGCATCCTTTCTGATACACTGCAGCCAGGCGACCAAGGCAGAGGCAGCCGCTAGCCTCACGTCATTGGAAACGTCATCCAGGCGTTTTAACAGTTCTGGAAGGAGGGGCAGGACGGCAGTGAGGCAGATGGGCCAGTGCAAGTGCTGCCCGGGTCCCAGGAGCCCACACCCGGTCCCCCACTCCGGCCGAAGGGTGGACGTTGTGGACACAGAGTGCAGGAGTGACCGGCCCCGAGCTCGTCCACCCCTTTCCCCTCACCAACAAGGCGGCCCCATGATGCTCCGTTCAAAGCCCGTTGCCTGTGAGCCTCACGCCTGGCCGCCCCCCCGAAAGCACACAGCACAGGAGGGATGTCTGCTGACCCTGCCCTCTGTGGGCTCTGAGGGACAAGCTGAGGGCCCGGTGACATGACATGCTGCCAGCTGAGTCAGTTCTGTTTCTGCTGAGCCTCCAGGACCAGACCATTCTGCTGCTGAAAACAGAATCATCTTCCCCAATGGGTACAATCTCTTACGTTAATGGTAAGACTTGTATCAAGGATCTGCTTTTCTTACATAATCTCTGAGAAATCTCTGGCCCCCACACCGGTGCTTTCTGGAGACTCAGCAGATGACAGGCTGGGTACCCAGTGCGGTGGGAGGGGACGCGCAGATGGCCATCTCCCAGCTCACAGATTCACAGTTGTCTACGGCTTATCCAGGGCACCGAGTGTGAAATTTCAGGAATTACTTTCCACTTCCAGGAGTTCTTAAATCCGTCTTTTAAAATGACTAAGTCCCTGTGGCCTACACAGCACAGACGACGACGAAAGCCGGCTTACGGAATGGCAGGTCGCAGCCCTGTGCTCCGGGCCTCTGCCCGCCACCAGCCACACCCAGCCGCTCTCTTGGGGTCCGCGTACACATGCCCACGTGCCTGCCCGCAGCTTCTGGTGGGTTCTTTCCCCACAGTCCGGTCTTCAATCCCATCTACCTTTTTGATTCTCAACTTGGCTTTTAATGGATGCTATTCATTTAGCTTCTCGAGGACCTTATACACTGTGTCAGTTACGCCTCGCCCTGGCATTGGGTACCTGCTCTCCTCCCCCGTGCCAGCTCGCCACGTGTGGGAACCTGTGTTCACAGGCCATCCGCGGTCACCCTTCCTCTCGGTGGGGCCGGCTTCTGCACCTGGACTCATCTGGTGCTTGGGCTCCAGAGGCAGTGAGGCCGCGGGTCTCCAGGTGGCACACAGCCTGGCCCAGGCCTGGGTTCACACCGCGGGCGCCCCGTCACACTACGGCCGAACCCCGGCTGCTGTGGGAACCTGAGCTTTTGCTGGTCCCTGCGCCCCCCATTCTGGTCCACAGATCTGTCTTGTTCCTTGTGCTCTGTCGGTTACTCACTGATATTTTATGTGTCATTGCCATGTTTGGACTCAGTACCAACTTAGCCAGAAGTCAAAGTAGCATTTTCTATTTCTCCAATATAAGGAACACTGTCAAACAAATATACACATATGCTTTGGAAAAAGGAAATATCCTACCAGGATAAATCTTGGTGAATTTATCTGGATCAATCGCACCACCAGAGGCTTCTAAAAATACGCTAATGATTCGGCATGAGGTCAGTCGAGTCGTCTGAGAATCTTCCTCCAGGGTGGTCAGAACTTGGGGCATCAGCGTCCTCTGCACGTCCTGTATCTGCAACCAGCACAAACACGGGGTGTGATGCACTCGCCGTGCCTGCGCCTTACACCCCCCGCCCCACCCCGGTAACTACAGACTTGGTTTGGGTACAAATACAAACACAATGGACTCGGAATGCTATTTTGAAATCTGTACGTAAGAAGCGGACTTGAAGCTCAATTTTACAGTCTAGATAATTTGAACCATTTCTGTTTAACGTGGTCAGTTGATTTTTAAGAAGCCCATTATTCATAAAGTCTGACAGGAGGTGAGCCCCTGGTGAGATGTTTTCACAATGTGAAGGCACAAGCACAGTAAAACAATGTTTTAATACTCTCCTCTCAATTGTTTCATTAATTTCCCTGTTAGCTGGAGAGAGGAATAAAAATAATGCAGAAAGCCCACACCAGCCAAGTTAGTTAGGCTCCTGCGATTAAATTCTTTGTCTTGTAAAGAGTAACATTCAATATATAAACCTCAGAAATCCCCCAAGATGACCACAGGAAGCTTCCCACTGACTCCGGCCAGGCTCTTGCCCTCGGGTCCCCAGGCTCCCTTCCCTCCATGTGTTTTAGAAACTGGCGTTTTGCTGCCGGGCTTTGAGAAGGGCCGGCAGCCGGGGCGCAGCCCATCCCACCCTGCACGGGCCCAGGACGCCCGGGGCCCCACCTGTGTGGCCGACAGGACCTCGCTGCTGATGAGCGCCCAAAGGCAGGACACAGCTGCCGTGCGGATGGCTGCGGCTGTCCTCCCCGCGTGCCACTGCAGATTGGGGACCAAGATGTCCATTATCACGGTGTCAAGGTAGCTGTGAAACTGCCTGGAAAGGAAGCACCAGAAAGCAGGTGAGGACGGCAGACAGGCTCTCCCTGAAGGAGACGAACTGGGCTGAGGGGACGTGGGCCCCCAACAAGACAGCCCTCCGCTCCCCTCGGGGAGGAGGCTGTCACGGGCCAGGGCTCCGGCTGGCCTCTCTGGGACCAGCCATGGGTCAGTCCTGAGCTCCAGAGAACCTGGGGGCCCAAGCATGTTCTTCCAGCCTCCTTCCCACTTTGCCGTGGAGGGGCTTCACCTGTCCTTCCAGCTCTGAGGAGGGAGCAGGAGCTGCATGCACCTGAGCACACGTCACAGGAGCATCTACCAGGCCACGTGTGTGACCTTAGACACGCCTAACAGGCCCTCTGGCTACAGTCCTGTCCACCTCACCAAGGACACCGCAGGTCAGCCCCAGGGGCCTTGAGTGCAACCACATGGGGAGACATGGACGTCCCCGCTGACTCTTAGCTCAGTGGTCACCAGCCATGTCCATGTCCCATCAAGACAAAAATCTAAACCAAACCAGAACCCGGGCTGTCATGTCTCCACTTGCTGGTGGTTCGGTATGCAGGGCCCGGTTCTGAGCACCCCACTAAACGCTGCCCAGAGACCAGCCTCTGCATTCCTGCCAAGTCCCACTGCACCTGCAGGCCTCTGCTCACAGATCAAAACGTACTTTGTGAAATAAGTAATCCACTTTATTCCCAGCTGATTTGTTCCCAGCATTACCACAAGCTATCCCAAAGGAGGCTCAGGCAGAGAGTGGGGCCTGCAGGGGTGTGGGCACGTGGGACCAGCAGGGGGCGCCCATGGGCCCACCTGGAAAGTGCACTTGGTTCAGGATGATTTACACATCCTCATTAGGTTCTCCAGGTGCTTTCATTTTAAAACAAAGAGCTGTTGTTTCCTGCACAGTGATTTACAAGCAAATCCTCTGGAAAGAGCCCTGCGCTCTGCCATCCGAAGTGGGCCATTAACGTGGCTGGAAGAGCCAAGCGCTGGCCTTCAGATGCAGGCAGGGGCTGCGTCCTGCATCCAACGCCAGAATGAACTGCCATCCGAAGCATCAGCACGTCAGGGAGTATAAGCACTTGACTTTAAAAAAAAGAGCTGCCACGCACAGGAAGAGGCAGCCCGTGCACAGCTCGGCCCCTAAGACAAGGAAGCAGGCGGAGCTCCCCCACAGGCAGCCGAGCACACGCCTGCCAGGGGCCTTGCTCTGACCTGAGATGTCCGGGGACAAGGGCAGAACAGGCAAGCGTCCCTGCAAAACTGCAGAAAGTCAGGGCGCTGGCCTCTGAGGGCCTCAGGGCTGGGGCCAGAGGGCTCAGAGCTCTCAGTCTGGGGCACTCTGCTGAAGGAGCACCCCTGTTCATAAAGAGAACCACTCCCAACCTAGGGGGCGATCCTCCAAAGAGGGCCATCCTCAAGCTGAGGCCCCCAACATCTTTGCTGTTTCTTCAGAGCTTGTCGTATATTAACGAGGCCCGTGGAAGCCTTTACAACTGCTGTGTCCAAGGTGGAAACTCCCGATGGCAGAAGCCAGCCCCTCCCCGGGGACCTGTCCTGCCCGTCCACCCTCAGAGCAGGACCCACACACCATGTGGGTGCCTGAAAGTGCCTGCCCACCCAGTGGACAGATTCCCTTTCGACTGCTCCTGTCTCAGCAGTCAACGACGTACAGTAAGTCCCCAACTTACGAACGAGTTCCGTTCCAGGAGAATGTTCATAAGTCCGACAAAGTGAGTCTTATACACCTTTGATGCAAATATACAATGGAAAGCCAGTGGTTGAACGACTCATGTTATAAGAGCGAGCGACGCCTACCATCTTTTCGCCTCGGTCCAATCTCTCAATTATTTTCACTTTTGTTTCCATGGTTATTGCTTTGCGCTTCCTAGCAGTCCCCTCCACGTCACCACTGCTTTTCCTCTTGCTTCCGGACATCCTGGGCTTGATTGAGCACTGCACTACTGTTCACTATTGCACTGTACAGTGAGCACACAGCAGCACAGCTGTGACAACGTCCGGCAGACACGGGAGCTACTTCCGCGATTTGTTCTCATCTATGAATGTTCGTAATGCGAGGTCCGTTCGTATCTGTGTAAGTTCGCAACTCGAATGTCTATAAGTTGGGGACTTAACGTATTTCATATCCTACCACTTGATAACCCTAAAACTCAGAACCAGGTAGATGCTATTTTGGTTAATTTTCTCTGTGAAAATAGCTAATACTTCCACCTACGTAACTGTAAATTGAACAACTTTCTTCTCCTGATCCTGAGTCTTTCCAGGAGGTCTCCAAGTGCAGGTTCTTTTGGGAGCTTGGTAGAAACTCGGACACTGTGTTGAGTAGAGTTACTGTCCACAGGGACACGGCTGAGCCAGGCTCAGGGAGCCGGCCGGCTGGCGAGGATCTGCCTATTGACAGCACAGCTGCTGGGGCTGCACTCGGCATCTGCTTATGGTCCCTTCGAAGCCGGGAGGCTGTTGCAGCCCAGCAGGAATTTCTGCAAATATGGTGTCTGGCTAGAGGCGCAACAGCAGAGGGATCAGGGCAACATTCAGAGAAGAAGAGCCTGAACAACCCAATTATTTCTGTGGAAGCAGTCACCGCAGGTCAATGACAATGCAGGACTCTGGATAGATCTGTTCCCTTTGGGGTCAGGTCCCCAAACAGCTCATGGCATCTCACTGAGGCGGGACGAGGCCAGCTCTGCCCCACAGCAAGACCCGAGTCACTCAGGTCGGGGTGTTGCTGTGGGCGGCGTGTCCCCAGGGCTCTGCACCAGCCTGGACCGGTCAGTATTTACCTCAGGCTGCTTGCTCCTTCTCCTTTACTTCAAAGCCATCAAGTCCGAGGAATGCTACCTAAAAGCACTTGCTACCGCTTTAACTATCAGTGGTAAGTCAATCAATTCTGTTAGGTTTGAAAGGTACGAAAAGGCTTTTAAAACTGGGAACAGCTAATATATAAACCATTAATAGTTAATGTTCCCTAAAATGTTTTCCTTCAATGGAATTTTAATGACCACACTAAAGGGACTTTGATTTAGTGTCTCTCTGTGCGGTATGCTCACCACCATGACCTTGCTGTTTACCCAGGGGGACACGGAGCTGCAGGCAGCAGGGACCACCCCCGTTCTCACCTGAGACCTCCGTATGGGGGTGGTGGGGATACCCTGCCCCCAGCACAGCACAGGTGGGGCACGGGGCGGGGCCCACCTACCCGTGGGAGTCCAGGGTCTCCTTTGCTCTCAGCAGCACCCGAGACAGGACGGAGAAGAGCTTCAGGCGCATCTGCGGGTCCCTGGCGGGCTGCAGGCAGCTCCGGAGGATGGGGACGAGGTAGGGTAGCGCTGCTCCGAGGGCAGGGCCTGGAACACAGAAGCAGCCTCGGTCCTGCTGGGTCCTGTCCCCTCTCAGCTCCTCCTGCACAGACTCCAGAGCTATGGCCGCCATGATCAAAGAAAAGGGGCGGAGCCCACTACATCCCCAAGTCACTCTGATCATTCAATATGGAAACTTTCTATTTCCTTACGTTTTTTCCAAATTCTTAAAAAATCTAAAGTCAAACAATGTGTTAAAGATCGACCAAAATCAGTTTTTCAGAATATATTGTCTAATGCTGGTCCCTAAACCTTGCAGCCATGATCCTTTTTCAAACTCGTTACTTGGTGAAGTCAGGGATGCACTTCTCCCCACGCCATTAGAAGGTTTCAAACACACGCGATGGCAGCAGCTCTGAATGGTGCCTGGGGTGCAGACACAAGCTGCGACTCATAAGGCCCCCCCCACCCCCCCAGGCCCTGTGCCAACAGACAGGACTTCGCTTTCTGGACCAAGAAAGCGTGCTGTGAAAGCACGTGGTTTGCTGCCTCTGTAGTAACTCTGAGAGCAGGACAGGCAACTTAGATCTTGTTAAGAGGCGCCGTGCTGAACCTGCGACAGGAGTAAGCCTGGCCGGAGGGAGTCGGCTTATCAGCCTGGAGCTGTGTGTGGGTCTGGGGAGGAAGAAATGGAAGCAAGCCAGAGACACGGCCCCCGGGGTGGCGCGGCCTCCACAGCGGTGAGCGCCCAGGCCCTCGGCAGCTTGCTTTCCTTCAACAGCTCACGGGAGACGAGGCTCCGGAAGCTTCCCCAGCACAGGCGGGTTCAGGAGCAGGCCCAGCCTCCCAGCAGCTTCACTCAAAGGACGCAGGGAGGAAAGGCCGCTTCAGGGGCACCTTGCGCCCTGCCTATGCCGGACGCTTCAGCTTCTGCCCATCGCCAGCTCCTCCACAAACATGAGGGGCTGAGGTTGTAAAGCAGCTGAACAGCATCTGCCACAGAGGGTTAGTGCTGCCGGAACTTAGCTCTGGTTTCTTGTCAGATTTGAAAATATGGTTTGCAAACAACTGACAGAACAATTCGAGTTTTTTTTCCAGGGGTCACAGCCCCTGGGTCCTGAGCCAAACCACTGTTCTCTAGGGACAATGCACAGAAGTTACAGTCACAGCAGGGACCCTTCCGATCCAGAGCACAGTCACAGCAGCCCTGCACCCCGAGGCGGTGGCGTGCAGAAGCCTGCCATTTATAAGGAAATGGAATTGTCATCAAGTTTAAAGGAAGACAAACTGACCTGCTCGACACGTTATACCCACCTGGAAAGTACAGCATATCTGTAACGAACTGCCGTCATTTCTGTAATAAAAACCTAACTAGAATTCTGAGGTGTCATTCAACACCCGTGAGAGCATCACAAGCGACACTGCTCATTTCAGGAAAACGCCTGAGTCTGGAGGCTCAGCAGAAGCGATGGGGAACGCATCCCCAGGAGGCTGAGCGGGGGGCGGGGGGGGGTCATAGCATTCCCACAGCCTCCCACACCAACAGCAGCTGCTTGGATATGCTGACACATCTGCAGGGCACAGGTGACAAAAGCGGCCACGAAAAGCCAGGGCTTCAAGGTTCACCCTAAAAATGTGTGCCAGGCAGACTGGGAGAGCTGCATCACACAATCTCCAATAAAATCTCCTCTGCGCTTTAAAAATGAAGGTTTGTTCCTTAACATACGTTCTTCATAGGTGACAGTGACTGAGTTACTTTGAAAGTAACCTCAGTTCAGTACGGCTCGGGTGCAGCGTTCCGGTTCATGCCAAAACCTCCCAGCAGTGGCCTGCCCCCAGCCGCGCACGGGTCGTTTCAGGGCTCACCTGCCTGGGTGACCAGCACGTTAAACTGCAGCAGCTCTGCAGAGTGGACAGTCCAGTCATGGTGGGACCTGGCCAGCCACTCCAGGAGAGGGCCCACGTGCTCTTGGTAGAGGTCCTGGCTGTCACCACCATTCACCGCGGCCAGTGCGGCCATGGTCTCCTGAACCTGGAAGGTATGAATCACAGGCTGGGACAAGCCCCACTGAAGACCATCGTCATCACCTGAGACCCTGAGAGCCGCTCAGGAGCACGACCTGCTGGAATAATCAGGTTAATCACAGGCATTTCCCTGGTGATGGTGACAAAAATGGGAACCCGTGAAGTACGTGCCGGGAGCCCAGACTGCAGACGCCAGTTTCATCTCCTATGTCCATTCATGTCATGTCAACACCGCCTGCACCACAAGCAGTAAAACAGTCAAGTGCCTCCCTCTGCAAGGACCTCGAGCCCCTAGGTCTGAGGCCTCCCCGGCCCCATTGTCCTCATGCTCCTGCAGAGTGGGAGCTGGGGTGCCAGCCGGGCTTGGTCCGCGAAGCAGAAGGGGACCAGCAGGCTTCAGGAAACTAAACTGAACAGACTTAAGCTACGTTTGCAGAGGCCCCTTGCACCCTTCCTCTGCTCAGTGGTCACCCCAGCAGACCTGCGGCTGACGGAACACGAGGCACCGAGGCTGCAGCGCCCCCACCCGTACTTCTCTGCAGGGCTGGAATACCAGGCAGGTCCTGGCCTTGCAGCTGCACGGGGCCCAGCCTGGTCTGAGACGCTGTAAGCTGATGGCTGCTGATAGTAGTGACAAGCCACCGCAAAGACCCAGCTCTCTGGGAAGAAGGTTCTTAAAGGGAGAATAAATGCAGCAGTTACAGAGACCTCAAGAAAGGTGAGCGAGGGGTGGGCATCGTGGCCTCCCGTCCCGCAGGTCAGCATGCAGAGACCTGCCCGAGGGCCCTGGAGAGACGGGGAGGGAAACTGCGTCCCAGCTCTGGGCTCGAAGGGATCGAATGTCAGAGGGCTTGTCAGCCTAAATGCGGGACCCAAGGGGCAGTGCAGCTGGCCTGCGAGTACACAGGAACATCTGCTGTTATCCCATCTGCAGACCTCCAGCAGCATGTCTTGTTAGCCACATGCACCGCACAGGTGTGAGCGAGGACACCTTGTGCCGTTTCTCCAGGAGACTCCAAGACTGAGTCGTCTTCACTCTGACAGACTACGCGGCAGTTGGAGGGGACCTAGATTTCTGTGTACCCTGAGGCCAGCTCATGACAGACTCATCTCAAACGTCAGCTGGAGTCGGGCAGCCTGAGGCTGGGGGTCAAGGGCAGAGGTTTATAGCGATGAGCACCGTCACCTGTACGGCAAAGTGGCATATTCCCCCACCAGGCTCACCTCGTCGCCGAGGCCTGTGGCACCCGCGAACGCCAGTATGGTCACCAGCACTTCCATGAGCTGCAGGCTGGACCCTCTGCAGTCTTCGCGGCACACGGCCACCAGAGCCCGCACACAGAGCAGCAAGTTCTCCCCGTACTCGCGCTGGGGATAGAGCGAGGGCACCGTTAGCTGCGCTCGGGCCATGCCCGCCACCCACCCTGCCCGAGGGCTGACAGGAGGCCACGCCCGCCCCTCGAGAGGCAGAGTCACAGAGCCCATGGCAACTAAACAGCACCACCAAGGCACCCTCAGAAATGGGGAGCTGAACGCAGACTGGAAACAGGAATTGACATGCATTTGGTTAACGGCTCAACAGCATTTTAGTTGTTTAAGAAAGTCCTTATGTGTCAGCGATATTAATTAGTAATGTAGAATTTAAAAGTGAAATAACTGGGTGTCTGGGATTTGTTTCAAAATACCCCAGCTCTGCCCACCTACCCCCTAAAGTTCAGGAAAAAGGTGGAAGAAGGGGGACAAGATGAGGAAACCCATGAGTCGGTCATGCTAAGGCAGGCTGACGAGTACGCGGAGGTTCACTTTGCTCTCTCTCTACTTCTGCGCTTTAAATGTATCTACAATACCAAGTTTTAACAAAAATAAATAAGATTCTGTGGTTATGCTTCCTGATGGAGAGGGGATGAGGAGGTGACATCTCGGCGGGGGAGGGGGGGGTCCAGCCGCTCACCTCCCGCTCCAGCTTCGTCAACTGTAACACGGAGCCTGGGCGGGGAGGGGGCAGAAGAAGTGATGCTTCTGTCAGAGTCCACGTCAGAACGCCGTGTTTCATAAAGGACGGGACACCGGTCACGAATGTAATTCACAAACATGATCCGTAAACAAACAAGTATGTGCATATTGGAGGTATGTGCTTACACGTTTACTAATGGGAGTGTGAGTTCAAATAATTTTGGCAATTATTTGGTTAGATCAGGGGTTGGCAAACTGTGGCTCGCAAGCCACATGCGGCTCTTTGGGTACGTACATGTGAGCAATTTTTTGTGTGAATTTTTCTTATTTTAATAGATATAATTAATACTATTACTTATTATAATATTACTTTAAATTTTCTTTATTTGTAAAAATATATTTATGGCTCTCGAATAATTTTTAAATTGCTGTGAGGGACAGGATTGGCTCTTCCGTCTAAAAAGTTTGCTGACCTCTGGGCTAGATAACGGATTGGTTCTAGATTCTGAGTGATTTCTGTAACTCCATGACTCAGTCACAAGTGACATAAATTTAAACAGAAAATTCACACTGGATCACAGAATAGTTGGGTCCATGCACCCCCAGACCCACCTGCCTTCACGCACTGGAGACCCGTGTACATGGGGCAAGACCTCTGCCGGCAGGAGCTGGACACCCACCCGTCCCCAGGTGAGGTGGCTAGGACCACTGGATGCCCAACTCCTGTGAGAAGCCAGGATTGGTGTTTGTATTCGAATCCTGACTCTTCCCAAAGCTTAGTGTCTTTTAGGCCTGGATTGATGGCTTTCTGAAGATGTGATTTTTTGCTAATTTCTAAAATGACCTAGAATATACATTTAAGGACCAAATATTTTTTCAATTAAATTAAAAAGGAATTCAGTTTTAAGACACGTGCTGCTGTTGGCTTTTGCTGGGCTGGGCCATGATGCCCCCGACACTGGAGCCAATGAAGAGCCATGCATCCTGACAAACCTCACGCTGCTGTGCACACGGCAGCGTCTTCCTCTCCGAGGGATGCAGGCCCTCACACATGCAGGTTCCTCTGCATGTAACGGAGAGTTCTGGCATCGACTTGCACATGCACAGAGCAAAAATGACTCTAGTGGTTTTGTTCCTGAAACCAGGTCACCTAAGCTGCCTGAGTTGTGCTGGGAAGGGGGACTCACGTCAGCGACAGCAACAGCGTCCTGCCCTCCCGGTGCTCTTTAGCCAAGCAGGAAAAGGGAGCTGTCCTGAGCTACAGTCGCCTGACTTCAGTTACTGTCACTAAGCATGCACGTCAAAGAGAATCACGTTCCTTCCACTGTTCAGTGTCAGTTTGTTCTCAAAACACATTCATGGCTTGTTCTTACAGCTACTGGGGGTGATGATAGGGAAGATATGCCCCTTCCTGAGGACACACACATACGCACGCGCACACACACACACACACGTGCACACGTACATTCATGCACATGCGCACATGCACATGCACACACAAAGACATGTACATACACACATGCACGTGCACACACATTCACACACATGCACATGAGCATGAGGCGCCCTCCCTGCCACGGCGGGGTCAGTGCTTGTCGGCTGGGAACAGGGGCGCCTCTGCCCACACTCTAGGTGCCGCACGTTCCAGTGTGTCAGGAAAGGAGCAGAATGTGTGTCCTGGGTTCTGTCCTGGCTGGTTCCCTGGCCTTGCCCCAGGGCTGGAACACATCCAGAAAGCCACTATTGGGCTTTGTTAGAAAAGCGTGTCTTTCTCCAAAAGATCATCAAAACTTTCCATGAAAAAACTGGGAGATGAGGAGCCAAACACAATCTGAACTCAATGGGTTAAGGGATTAACGTCTTCTGTAACCAACACTAAGATATGAAATTACATTTTCTTGGCTACAGATGTGTAAGGTACGTATTTAAACACCAATACACATTCACAGGTTATACCCTTCTAGAAAAAACCCGCTTCTGGCTCGCAAATCTATGGGGAGGGATCAAAATCCTTCTTTTAACCACTTGTGAGCGAAAATGCAGAATGCATATGGATGTGACCATCGTGCTGAAGATGGTTTGGGGACGAGCTGGAGGGCGGTTAATGACACCCAGGGCACACGAGGCAGCCCACCGACATCCCGTTTCGGAGCTTCGTCTCTCATTCCCTTTCTGTACTCTAGAAACTTTTGCCTGACAGGTTTAACACGACTCACAACACGATTGTGAGCTGTGCCCTCTGCACTCAGAGGTCAGGGAAAGGGCCGTGACAAAGGACTAGACGGCGAGGAGGCAGAGCATGCAGGGCCCCAGTCACGCAGAGCAGACGCGTGCCAGCTTCTCCTGGCGTTGGGGGTAGCACTGCACGCAGACCCCATCTGAAGCAACTCCAGTTTCTCTATAGAAAGATCCGAGGGCCGAGTCCAGGGCGGGTTTACAGGGCTTAAGCCTCTCCCGGCCAAGCCAAAACAAAGTCATTATTTTCTTTTAATTGCAAAAAATTATAAATTATTCCAAATGGTTCAGCCTAACTACCTACATTGTCTAAGCTGCAGACATGATGGATTTGTTGCTCAATTTAAAACAAAACAAATTTGGGCCAGCCACGCTCGGATCCCAACGGCTCGCCAAACTGCCTGGTGGCTTGTTTTACTCCCATTATCAGAAAGCCAGCTGATGGGGCCCCAGCTCGCGGCGCCAGCACAAGGCGCACTGAGAGCCATGTGGACCCACAGTGGAGTGGGCGCTGGGCAAGTTCGTCTCAGGGCAGAGAGAAGGCGGCTCAGCACAGCTGCCACCGTGTCCCCTCTCTGGGCCCGAGACCACCCACAGCAGCGCGGTCCAGCAGGACTGTCCTCGAGGGACATGCTCAGTCCTGCACTGGCCACCGCAGCAGCCCTGGTCACGTGAGGACGTAGTCAGTGTGACTGCTGGGGGAGTGCCTTTAACTTATTTAATGTTAATTTCAGTGGAGGCCGTGCTGGCCGGAGCAGAGTGAGACAGGAAGCAAAGGGCCCCAACAAGAGGCCCCAGGCCGGGCTGACTAGCAACAGTCACTAGTGCTGTGTCCACAGCAACTGGCCGGGGACACGCCCACTGTGCAACGTGCAGTGTTTTCTGCTTTCCATCCGCTCATTCCTACACTTACGTTCTCAGCCCCTTGACAGATGTGGGTGTGGGCCAGCTCCGTGGCGATGGCCTTCAGGTGTGGCTGGAGGGCTTCCCCAGGGCAACCCCGGATGACAGAAGCGAGGACCAGGAGGCCGGAGGCGGAGGGCGACTTCTTCAGCATGGGCCACATCAACCTCAGAAAGACGTCCGGGCTGACGAACGCCCCGATCAGCTCTGCGGACCTGACGCACTGTGGGGGGGACACAGACAGCTGGGGCAGCCACGGCCTGGGGTCCCGCCACCACGCCGCCGACCACCACGCCGCCGGGCAGACCTGCAGGAAGCCTCTCTTGACGGCTGGTGCTCAGACACTGGTGCAGAGAGGCCCCGGGGACCCTCGGGACGTCCCTGAGAAAGTTCTCGCCCTCCAGCTTTTGAGGCACCATGGGGCTGGCTGGCGGGAGGGCTGGGTCCTGGCGGATTCCCTGACCCATGCTGGCTGGTCTGTCTGCTCCCAGCAACCTACACGCCTGCCTGCAGCTCAAACGCGCTGTGCCCACGTGTGGGGCACAGTCCTAGCAAGGTGTGCCCCTGGGTGTGCCTCAGCGCATCAGGGTGCCTGGGAACGCCAGTCCCCAAGGACACCTGCATGGTTCCAATGTCACACTGCCCTCAAGAAGGCAGGTTACAGGGACAGAGCACATCAGTGGTGGCAGGGGCTGGGCATGGGGTGCGGGCCACCGGGGGTGACAGAAACTCTACATCTCGGCTGTGGGGAGGTCCCATGACTGCTCAGGTCTGTCAAAATGTGCAAACCTGCAAACCTAAAAGCAGTGGGTTTTACAACCATAAGTTACAGCTCTGTAAACGTGGCCTGAAAGGCTACTCACGCTGCTGACCACAGCCCCCTCGTCGTCAGCACAGGCGTGGAGCAGGGTTCTGAGCACGACCTCCAGGTGCTGTGTGGTGTGGTCCTCTGCGTGTCGCAGCAGCACCACCAGCAGCTGCGCCGACTTCACCCTGGTCCCCACCACCCAGTCGGTGATGTCGTGACAGATGGCAGGAAGAATCTTGGACAAGTTTCTGAAGATGAGCTCCCGGCAGCCCAACCCTGGGCGGGTCTCTGTGTTAAAAAGATCAAAAGTCAGATTGGCCCAGTGGCTCAGTTGGTTAAGAGCTCACTCAAGAGTTTGAGCTCTGAGCAACAGCGGTTCGAGTCCTGAGCTGAGCTGCCGCTAAGCTGCCAACAGGTGGCAGGATGGCTCAGTCAAAAAAAAATCAAAAGTCAACATGAAATTCACAACTCCCCACGATCCTACAGAAATTTGTCCTACACTCGTATTTAAGGTACACCCACCAGTTTTACTTTGAGGTCTTAAAAATTCAAACCAACTCTCAGGACAGAAATGAAGACGAAGTGTCATCGTTTACTTGGAATGTTTCACAGCGGTGCTGAGGTGTGGGTGACACGCGACAGTGCACACCTCAACGTGCCTCACTCAGCAAGTGCTGATGTCCGGAGACACCTGTGACCCGTCACTGAGGTTTGTTTCGTTCTTTTTTTTTTTTAAGATTTTATTGGGGAATTGGCGGAGGGAACAGCGTTGGGGAATCGGGGAAGGGGAACAGACAAGTTGCTGTCCTTTTGTTCTTCAGTCTAGTTGTGGAGGACGCTGCTTCACTAGCCCATGTTAGTATTATCATTGCGCTCTTCCCGGGTGAGGCAGGTCTGTCACCAGCCACTGGATGGCCACTCATGGCGGCTCTTGGCAGCTCACGCTGGCTGCCGGCCACTCACGGTAGCTTATGGCAGCCCACTGCAGCCCTCTGCAGCCTACGCCGTCGCAGGCGACTCATGGCAGCCCAGCCCCAGGTTGAGCTGCTGTTCACCATCTTAGCTGTAGAGGGCACAGCATCACTGGCCCTCATGTGGGATCTGAACCGGGGCCCTGCTGCTCAGAGCTGGCGTCCCAAGCCAACTCTCAACCAATGAACCACTCGGCTGGCCCTTGTCTTGTTCTCTTAACGACATCTTTCGAAGAGCAGCGCTTTTATTTTAATAAAGTTCAGTTTCTCGATTCATTCTCTTGTGGAGTGTGCTTCTGATGACAACCGAAGCAGCTCTGCCCACAGTCCCACAGGCTTCATCCTGAAAGGCCTAGAATTTTGAGTTTTACGCTTGGGTCCATGATGCATTTGGGGTTAACGTCACTTTTTCTGCAAATCCAATTATTCCAGCCCCCGTGCTGAGAGGCCGTCCTTTCCCATTGAGTTGTCCTGGAACCTTTCTAAAAGCCAGCTGTCCACATGCACGTGCCTGTTTCTGGACCCCTTTGCTTCCCTCCTGTCTGTCAGCAGGCTGAAGTCACCGAGTGGCTCCTCACCCTGTGGGATGAGGGTGCATGCATTTTCTCTGTAGTTATAGTTAGCATTTTCAACCGTTTTTTCCCAACAGATCGAAGGCTGTGCTCAGGAAGGGCACCAAGACATCAGCTGAGCTCAGCCACCCCGTCCATAGGGGGAGTTCCAACATCTGGAACTGAAGTCTCCAAAACAACAGTTTGACAGTATTAAGCCTTTCCTCTCCCTCCAAGTGTATCCCCAAGTGGCTTCCATGTGATACTTGAGGTACACACAGATGACAATCTTATTGACCGTTCCGAATCAAATCTGGACATGAGAGAAAACTGCTGAAAACGTTAAGCACACGTCCAGAGGCCAAGTGCAGCCTCACGGAGAGACAGCCCCAGCAGCAGCGGGACGTCACCTCCCTTGGGAAGCATGTCACTTCAGCAAGACTCAGGCGTGAGCAGTGGCTGCCCTCTGGTCACCTGTCAACAGGCCTTGTCATCACCTGTGGGTAAAGGGTGCCCTCGGGCACAGCAGCTCTGGCAGAGGCAGCTGGGGTTGCTGACGCCTGTTCTTGAGTCAGCCCAGGGGCGGGACAGCCTCATCCATCCACCTGGAGAGGGGCCGCAGGGTCCCTGTCGTCTGCACGGTGGGCATCCTCAGTAGATGCTGGGTGAGCACAGGCTGCCAACAGTGACCCTCCCACCCCCAGCCTCGTGGGCTTGGTCAAACAGTGTGATGGAGGCCTAACCCACCTGCCACAGGATCACTCGCCAGCCGCCGTCTGGGGCCCTTCCACCTAAGAAGGCCCCGTGCTGTCTGCAGTCACTGCCCACCCCGCCTGCAGCAACCACCAGGCGCTTCCTGTGCCTACAGTTTTGTCTTTTCCAGAGATTTCGCATAAACGAGCTTCTTTCCCACGCACGACGTCCCTGCGGCTTCCACGCTGGGGCCTGTCAGGACGTCACACCCCGTGTGCAGCTGCACCACCATCTGCTTGTCCTTCTCCAGCTGACAGGCATCGGGGTTGTTCCCACGGTGGGGCTAGTGTGAACGCACCGCTGTAAACACGTGTGGACGAACCCTGGGGGAACATGGGTTTCCATTTTTGTTAAGTATCTGGGGTGGAATGGCTGGTCACACGGTAAGTGTACGTTTCACATTTCTGGGCATCTCCAAGCTGTTTTCCACGTGGCTGCGCCGAGCTGCCTCCCACCGCATTGGGAGACGGTTCTGCTTCTCCACGCACCAATTCCCCTGCGGACGCATTCGGTTTGGCTTAGGACACATTGCAAGGCCTTCACCCCGCAGTAGTGGCAGCAGAGGGAACTCGTGAGGAAGTGCCCTGAGGTCTGGGGACGATGAACTTCCTGGGTCCAGGATGCAGGAAGCTCAGCCCTCCGAGTCTTTTCCTGGAAAACGTGCCTGCAGCACCTCTACCCCGAGAAGCTGCCAAGACAACTGAGGTGCCCACGTCGGCAAAAGAATAGACACTCGCCCGTCGGCTCAGCTTTCCCGGAGCATAAGTGCCAACGGCAGCTACCAGGCTCACCCAGCCTCGCACGCAGACAAGGTGCAGACACTCATAAGGCCGATCTATTTCATAAGTGAAACAAAATTAAAAGAGACAGCCAAGCAGACTCGTGTAACTGCCAGAAGCCAGTGGGAACGGGGAGGGAGCCGTGGCACAGCCCCGGGCGGCGTGGGGGCCGTTTGTGGGAGGTGGGGCTCGGGGAGCCCTGGGAAAGGAGGGTTCTGACCCAGCAAGTCCGAAATGTGAGCACAGGGCAGGAGGAAGAGGCTCTGAGGGGCAAGAACCCTCTCTTGCCAGAGGGCCAAAGTTCAAATCCTCGCTCACAGCACAGCTGACAGGGGCTTTTGTCTTGTCCACACCCACTGATTCTCATCCCAAACGATTCCCTTGGCCAGCACAGGGCATCTCATGAACTGCAGACTTTGTCCCAGTGACGTAACGTCTCTCAACAATAAAAATGAACAGAGTTGTCCTACTTGACACTTGGAACTGGTTGTGGGAGCTCACGGGTCCTGCCCTGTGCTCTGGGCGAGACATTAAGAAGCCATCCTTCATTCTCCCACCACTCTCCAGGATGAAAGACCAGAATACTTAAAAAAGAAACAAAGCAAAACCTGGCACGCAGTTCAGAGCAATATGACCAGACGGAGAGCAACTATCTTCTGGTATTCCCGTCTGTGTGCGTGTAAGGGTGACGGCGGGCGATGGCACTGAATTAATTATACAGCCACCTGTCTGCCACACGCAGAGTACTTACAAGTGTGCACCACGCACAATCACCTTGGGGGCGCCAAGAACATGGCTCTGAGGGCAGGAGGGCCCACTGAGCACCTGCTCACCTCTCAGGTCTTCTGCTAGCTCGGCTGTGAAAGGCGGCAAGAACGCGATCACAGGGTCCAGTGCCGATCAGAGTGCTTGGCACGCCTACGGGCACGCTCAGTGCTGACTTCTGCTTCCACCTGGTACCCTGGTGTAGGGGCTTGTGCTTCTGCGGAGTGTTGTTCATCTGTATTTTTCTACCTCATTTTTACTGCTACTAAACAATTTCCTTCTCGTCCGAAAGTCATTTTCCAAGCAGCTGAGTTAGATCTGCGGGGGCACCCAGGAAGTCAGCCCCTAGCCCCCCCCGCCCAGTGCTCGCAGTCCCCACTGCAGTCAGGAGCACCCGCCCCCGCGGGGCACTGCCCGACACAAACATCGGGTGCAGGGACGGCAGCCTCAGGGGAGTTCGGGGAGGACGTGGTGCCCATGGCTCAGGCTGATGTATCTGTAAACACACCTCTCACTGCCTCTTCAATCAGGGGGGTCAGCGGATGCCCTGACAGGTGGGTCAGAGCCTGCGGAGCGTTAACTCAGTTTACTTTTGCAGTTAGACTAAGTGTAACTTAACTGCAGGCAAAAAACCAGACCATCCATTTCTCCACGTGTTTATCGGAGTCCCATGGCAGGTCTGCCCAGCTCTGTGATTTATAAACCATCACAAGCAGGCTGGGTACAGAAGTGGAGGTCTGAGCAACCACGCGACGCTGACCTTCCTGAAGAAATGGACACCCCTCGGTGTGTGGTCGAGGGCCAGCCGCCACAGCGTTAGGGAAAGCCACAGGAGCCGCTCGTGCCCAGGCCGGAGACCTGGGTCAACGAGGTGCCATCCTCACTGCTGCCCGGGCACCAGCCGCCTGCCCCCTGGGGCTTCGCTCCAGTCGGTCCGAGAGGGAGAATGGCCGCTGGTACAAGTGGACCAGCCACCACTGCAGCTGCCCGATGGCGGAGGCCCTGCCCTTGCCCCCTGCCCGCTAACGGCGGTCACCCTTCCTCCTCACACTCCAGAACAGGCTCGGCACGGTCACTGTCCATCCAGGGACCCTCGCTCGCTCGGCCTCTCCTGCTTCCTCTGCACAATGTGACATTTCTGATAACTTCTATTCAGGTGTCTTTCCTGATACTTGCCAACACTTGGCTGAAACACAAGCAAAGCAGAGCCGGTTGGAGCTCTCAGGCAGAACACGAAAACACAGAGGGTATTATGTAGAGAGCAATCCACAGGACAATGGTATCTGTTCAAAGAGAACTCTCCTGATTTCTAAAATGGGTTTTAACAAAAGCCAACTCTATTCTCTGGTGTTAAAAGGTCTGACAAGCCATTTGCCATTGTGAAGACGTGCTTGCTTTTCACTCAAGCGTTACCAAGGAAAACAATTTTAGCAGAAGGATTATTTCAAAGCAGAAGGACTCCGGAACCCGCTGTCAGCACTTGATCCTGCCGCTGGCGGTCAGAGGGGTGGTGCGCAGATGCGCGCTGAGCAGGAACTGGTGTTTCCACACGACAAGAGCACTTTGTCCAGGCCAACGATGGGCTTGAGGAAGACAAAAGATGCCCTTCCGTTCTTTCCAACACCAGCTTGCTTTTAAAAGTGATTTACCCAGAGTTCTCACAGGAAACTTACTGTGTTTGCAAAGCTAATGACCAAGCAAGCATGTGGTGAGGTTACCTCTCTAGGCTGCGCACACCTTACTTTCCTAGGACGGGAGAGATGGGCTAATGATGACACCTGATCCAGGTGCAAGGGTGCACAGGCCGGGCTGCTGAGCGCAGGCTCTCTCAGCAGGTGAGCCGCCACCACCTTCTCATCCTGGCTGTTCACACGCTCACATCTGCGGTTCGGCCACCTCTCAGGTAAGAGGTCACATACCCATGCGTCTGACCCTTGCTGAGCTGACTCTGCACTTGGCACACCTGTTCCAGGTGCCGGGATGCAGGCACACACACGTCTGCCTCAGGAGCAAGAGATGATGAGAGCAAACGTTTCACTCAGAGACAGCACGGTATCGGCTAGAGGTAAGTTCCAGGAAGAAATGAGGCAGGTAGGAAGGAGGGCAGGCACACAGGAGGGGGCCCGGCACCTGCCGGGGCTGCCAGGTGGAGACGGGCTGGGAGCTTCAGCCCAGCTAGAGGGAAGGGCCACACGACACTGACCTGACAAAGGGCTGTGTCAGGGATGCACAGAGAAGCCAGGAAACTCCATCACAGCAGGACAAACCACCACCTTAAACTATGGACAGGAGATGTGAACAGACAAGGAACCAGAGGACGAGTAGCAACCTGTGCTCAGGGGATTGCAGATTCAACCACGAGCGACCCCATTACACACGGGACACCACTACACCAAGGGGGCTACAAATGTCCCCACATCGCAGGCTTGGGGCAGCCGTAACGCTCCTCCACCACGCATGGGAGGCCAAGTGCAGATGGCAGTCCCCGCAGTCACACACACGGCACAGCCACTGCATGGCCCAGCCATCCTGGTGCTGGGGTCTGAGAGGTGACATTCACACAAAACCTGCATGCACGTGCTTCCATCAGCCTTGTGTGAAGTCACCCAAGCTGGAAATGACCCAAATGTCCTTTGAGTACTGACAGACACCCAAATTCAGGACATCCGTACGGAATGTGACCCAGCGGCAACAGAAGAACCACGGCCGCACACAGCATGTCGAGAGCCAGACAAGTCGGGCAACTGTGCAGCTGGAAAACGCGGAGCCCGGGGAGTCTGTGTGGGGTGGCGGCCACGGGGCCGGCGAGGGGACAAGCACGAGGGCCGTCTGGGGCTGGCGGCTCTCTCTAGGTCACGAATGTGGTGGTCACATGCCTGTTTGCTCGCTGAAGCTCACGGGGCCCTGCCTCGGAAGGCTGAGTTACTTTTGTCAATTACGTCACAGCCTGTCCCCAGGGGCTGAGTGTGGTCTGGGGGAGTGGACGTTGCTGGACCCAAGGCAGGCAGCAGGTGAGGCCGGGGCACCAGGAGGGCATGTGCCCAGGGAAACGGATGATCGGTGGATAGGCTCTGAGGAGACTGACATAAAGTGACATATGAAATGTGTTAAAAAGTCCGGAAACTTAAGACTTAAAATGCAAATTTTAAAGGGAGAAAAAGTGGTTTTAGGGGAAAGTGCCCAAAACCTAATGAAATCCAGAGCTTATACCACTAATGACCGTGAGTCCATCCCAGGTGTTATCTGCTCTGACTGAAACACAAGTTCTGAGCACAGTTGCCTTCACCAGGCCCCAGACGTGCCCTTGGGCTGTCAGCCTGGCCCTGCCCGCCCCCTGCCGACCTCCCTCCCAGGCCTGCACCTCTGCTCTGCAGGCCCCATCGCCCATGCCCTTCGTCCTGCTCGGAGCGCGGCCTTTACGGGGAGGACCTGACGCCTGCGTTAACACCGGTGAGGACCGAAGCTCGCAGGACAAGGACGTCGGCAGGTTTTCCAGGGACCACGTGTGAGCACTGAGACACCATGTGGCGTGGAGACTGCCACGAACACAGGCTGGTCCAGAACCGTCAGCGCAACCCCCAGACCTTGTATCTGAGAACACAGTTTCCACAACAGAAACGTGAAGGTGTGCGGGCCGAGGGCTCGGCCCCGACTCAGCGCTAAGGGACGGAGAGCACCGCGCGCACGCGTCTGGAAGGTCGGGAGCTTCTGAGCGCTGGACTCCCCCAGTCCAAGGCCTGCGTCTTACCCGTGCCCTGTTTTGCTTCTTCAGGTGAAGCTCACAAAAGCTATTTTTGTCAAATGACAAAGTGCCACTCGTTTCCAAAATCTTTGTTGACAGCAGCGACTCCATACGTGTCATAAACCAGGGCCACCCAGGGTGTCCCCATGGACCTGAACCCTCCAGGAAACTGCATGCTTCTCCACCAGAGCTGGCCCAGGACAGGAGAGGGCGCCACGAGCAACACTGCCCCACAATGAGGGAGACGGTGAGGGGGACAGTGAGGGGGACAGTGGGGGGACAGTGAGGGGCTCAGAGTGCTGCAGCCTGGCGCAGGCGCTGCTCTCCCCTTGGACGGGGGTCCTCCCACCACCCCGCCACCTCACTGTCCTTGGGAAAGCCACACGCACCTGGTGAGGGGTGGTGGGCGGGAGGCGGAGAGGCGAAGTCCAGCTTGTCTTTGAGATCCTCCTCGTTCTCCTGTTGCCACTGTAGGCCGACCTTCTCCCAGAGGCTGGCGGCCGTGTGCCTGCAGCAGAGTCACAGGTCAGGGGGCCGTGGGCCTGGTGACCAATTCCCTGCGTGAGCCCACAGTGTGAAAAAGGCAGAATCTCATTTGAAAACCAAGAGGCCCTTCATGCCACGTGGCTTCACAGCAAGTGGAGGGCACAGAGTGGCTGCTCTAAGAGACCCTGAAGCCAAATAACTGCTAGTTACCATGACAACCTGGGAAGCTCAGGTGGGGACTTCCTTGATGACCAGACAGGGAACCCACACGTCAGGAGGCTGGGAGGGGGTGTGCACAGCCGCCCGCCCCCCCCCCCCAGACAGGGACAGCAGCGCCAGGCCCACCTCCTCCTCCGCCCCGCACTCACGCGACGCCCGGCATCTCGTCCTCCAGGCTGCTGAGCAGCAGTGGGATCAGCTTGGGGAAGAAGGAGTACCGGTCCCGCAGATCCAGCAGCCAGCCCCCCACCACGCACGTCACTGCCTGTCGGACCTGCACACAAAGTGGGCGCCACGCTGAGCGTGGGGCAGTGCTGGCCCGCCACGCACACGCTGTCCTCGTGGAGCACAGCACTGGGCCGTCCCAGGGCCAGCTCCAGGCACTCAGTGCAGCCATTCACCCACATCTCATGCCACTGCGTCTTCCTGGCAGCCCACGTCCTCTGGCTCTGGCCTGATCCCCTGCTGGCCCGAGCAGAGTGCCACATGGCTAAGTCCTGTCCGTGGTGTGTTTGCCACACCTTCTGTGTGGGAACCTCCTGGCCAGGCTGGGGGCTGTCTCACCGTGGGTGTTTAAGCAAGCAGCTGGCTAGCTGTTGGGAAACACCAGCTTACAGGCCACACCACCAAGGCCTCTGGTCCTAGAGCCCCAGGGACTCCCAGGGAAGCCAGTGGGGCACCCTGAGTTCTGCTGCCGGCTGCCTAAAAGGTGACGTGCATGCACAGGGAAGAAATGAGCTTCAAACACACCAGTGCCCGAGGTCTGGTTCCCTGAGGGCAGAGCTTACACAGGGATCTGAGCACCCTATGTGATCCATGGAGGACAGGAGGGGCAGGGCAGAAGCCACACAGAGGTGGCAGGAGCCCAATCCTGCAGGAGCTCTGGGGCACAATGGCACCACAGGGCTGGCCCACCGAGGCAAGGGGCCACTGGCAGTGTGTCAGTCACCAGATGGGGCTGCCAATGGGAGGTGTTTCGGGTGACATGGCCCCTCCTGACAGCACTGGCAGCAGCTCAGGCACCCACATGGGTTCGAGGTAGGCTACTCAGCCCCGGCTCCAGCAAGATCTAGAAACCAGCAAAGCCTCCCCAGCCCCGGGACCTGGGACCAGAGGCCTGGCCTCCTTGAGCTCAATCTCCAGTCTGGAAAACAAAGGGGATAACAGGATACGTGTCGGCGGCTTCTCGAGAGGACAGAAAGCACTTGCACAGAGTGTGACAGGCAGTAGCAGTTCAGCAGCCTGAGGCTCGCGTGCCTCTCACCCACATGCCAACGCACAGGACAGGCCGCCTCAGATTCCGTGTTACTGTTGCAACTGCCTATATCAGGGGTCGGCAAACTGCGGCTCGCGAGCCACATGCGGCTCTTTGGATACGTACATGTGGCTCTGAAGTATAATTGAAAATGAAAATAAAACGATCATAGTTTCATTTATAAAATTTTTAAAGGATATTATTCACATAATGGTGATTTCATTTGTTTTATGGCTTTTTAAGGGCAGGATTGGCTCTTCTGTCTCAAAAGTTTGCCGACCCCTGGCCTATATGAAAGACTTTATGAGCTAAAATGTTAAAAAACGGACTGCCAGCGGCCCAGCACCTGTGAAGTCCTAACAAAAATCAAAGTGAGCTCAGGACCAGGGCCCCACAGCTGACGGAAATGTAAAGCAGGCAGTAGGGTGACTTCACCTTGAACTCACTCTAAGGGACTTTGTGGTCATTCATTCGTTAACATGACCCCAAGTGGGCGTGAAAGCTGGCAGATGACTTGAAGAGCTGGATTTGAAATGCCACCTCAATCAACCCTAGAGATAGTATGGAGCAAATCAAACCCCACTGGGAAGAAATAAAGAGAAATGAAAATCATTTTAATAATGGGAGCATGTGTTTTAGAATACTAAAAAACAAAAACAGGGTTTTTGACTGAAGTTTTGGAGAAGTCACCAAAACCAAAAACCCCACACAGAATGTTGCCCTGGATGGCATCAAAGAGAAAGCAGTCATCTGGTGATGTCCTCACTCCTCTGTGGGAGTGCAAATCCTTACGCTGCTGGGGTAAGACCATGCTTGTGTCTCAAGATTTTCACAGTCAGCTATTTAGCGAGCTACTGATACAGTTATACTATTTAGCAAGCTAGATATACAGTTATACTATTTAGCGAGCCATGGATACAGTTATACTATTTAGAGAGCTATCAATACAATTACACTATTTAGAGAGCTATTGATAGTTACACTATTTAGAGAGTTAGGCACACAGTTGTACTATTTAGATAGCTATTGATACAAAGAGCTGTTGATTTAGCTATACTGTTTATAGACAGCTGCTGACACACAGTCATTACATTATTTTGAGGAAAACCACTTGATCTGTGACATAAGGAAGCCACCTACATCATCTGCTCCACCTCTAGCTTAAGGGAGCTGAGAAGCCACCCAGCAAGGCCATGCTCTTTTTCTCTGGTGTCCCTTGTGACCTGCACTCACTGGACTTGCTCTCTGCTGCCAGGTCTCTAGCTAATGGACAAAGCGTCTGTACTGGGCAGTGCTGGTGCCGACCCAGCACCCTGCCCCTTTGTCATTCTTGGCAGGCCAGGTTCTGCCCTGCCCCCCACCATGCTGTGACGTGCTGACCCCACCCGAGCTCCAGGATGGGCCACCAGGAAGGAGCCAGTGGTGCACACAGTCAATCCACATCAGCTGGCCCTATGAGACAGCCTGAGGGTCCCTGTCTCTATGTTGGCCCCACTGGCTGCCTCACTGCAACTCAGGGAGAAGCCAGAGGAGGAAGCCAACACTGGGGCATGTGCTGTGCTGTGCCATGCCTGGACCTGGTATATGTCACAGACATGCCACTGAGTCAGGCCTTCTGTCCTAGCCCTGTAAAGGCTGGAGTGACAACCTCATCCTGCCCCCTTCACACCGTTTCCCCCTGGGAAGCCCGCCTCCTGCAGAGGCACAGCTCATCCTGAACTGAAGCCACGCCCACCCCTCCCCTCCAGTCCCCCTCCCTTCCTCAGGCTGGAAGTAGGACCGAAAGGTTCTGATCACTTCCACAGTAGGTGGTCAGGACCTCTGACCTTTCTGTATAATTGGGACATTCATCGGGACCCTTTCAGTCTGCCTGCACACACATGCCAACAGAGCAGAACTGTATCTTGAGTCATGAAGTTTAATGTCACAGCGGGTAAAACAAACAACCTGGCGTTAAGCACTGGACCAGATGCTCCACATCACAACGCCAGGGAAACGCAAGTCAAAGCCACCAGCTGCCACTTCACACCCACTAGGACGGCTGTAAACAACACAAATCAGAAAACAGCAGTGTTGTGAGACTGCAGCGATCAGAGCGCCTGTGCATTGCAGGGGGCGTGCGAAATGTGCAGTGGCTGTGCAGCAAAGTGCGTGGTGGTCTCGGCGAGCTGAACGCAGCGGCCGCAGGACCCAGCCATCCCACTGCTCGGTGCAGAGCCAAAAGAAGTGAAGCCGAGTTCAGACAGGCCCCTGTCCATCCACAGCATGAAGGCACAGCCACAGCCAAGAGGTGTCAACAACCCAAGTACCTACGACGGGTAAGAGACGAGCACGGGGAATACCCACGTAATGGGTTTGACTCAGCCTGAAAAGGAAGTGAGGCGTGAGGCACTGACACGCCACGACAGGGATGAGCCCTGAGAACACCATGCTCAGTGAGAAAGGCCCCTCACAGCAGATCACACACTGATTTGACTTGTATGAAACATGCAGAGTAGAACTCAGGCAGATTAAAGGTTATCAGAGGCCAGGGGGGCGGGTGAAAGGGAGTTACTGCTTGATGGTTAGTTTCTGTTTGGGATGATGAAAAGTTTTGGTCAGTGGGGATTTGCACAACCTTGTGAATATACTTAATGACATGGAATAGTGCACTGAAAAAAGGTTAAAATGGCAAGTTTTATGTTATATATATATATATTTTATCAAAATTTAAAAAAATTAAAAAATTAATAGTGTCATATATCAAAAATATCCAATGCTTTAAAAAGATAAATTGTGAAGTATGGGAATTACAGTTTAACAAAACTATTTTAAAAAACAAAACAAAGTCACTGGGGAGAAACCCAGTGTGCCCATGGTCAGGAGGCAGGACAGTACCACAGAGCAGTCCGGTGTCACCAGGTCCGAGCCTGCAGGCTGGCTTGACTGGGTGACCCTGAGCACATCACAGGATCTCACACCTCGGGAGGTGGAAGTAGCAGCCATGACAACTTCTGTGAGGATTAAGTGAGACGGTGCCTGGACGAGGCACATTGGCACAGGGCTCCATGCCCAGGCCGGGCATTTCCGCCATTAGGGGAGCAGGGGCCCCGCCACCACGCAGGGCGTGCGTTACCCAGCACGATGGAATGGCCCAGGGTGGCCACGGCAGGGGCGCTTTGTAACCGCACGGACCACAAGGACATGCTCCCCTCCATGTCTCCTCCCTCTGGGAGGGAGCTTGCCCGCTGCAGCCTTGGGACACTTTAGTGGCCGTGGACTCAGATTCAAGACATGCCCTTGGAGCTGGCTTCTGCCAACAGAAAAGCCAGTATTGCCATCTCCGTCTGTCTGTCTCTCAGCGGGCCCCAAAGCCCAATGGAACAGTCACCCTGCCACCATCCATCTCCTCCCAGGTCTGGTGTGCCAACCACGGTGGCTCTCCATTGAGTCCTCCTCAGTGGAGGGGCACGTTAAAGACGCTTCTACAAACCAGAATCACACAGCACTGGCATTTTCCCTCCGCCGTGGAATTAAGTATGACAAACGTGTTCAGACAACTGAGCGCTTCCCAGTTTCTCAAAGAAGTGAAGCGGGAAGGACTGACAGGGCATGTGGTGTAATATTAACACCAGAAAAAAGTGAGTCACGTGTGCCACACTGCATGCTTATTTCTGGCTGGGAAAAGGGACTGCCCAGGGGACCTCCCATTACCTGGGGGACGTCGTCAAAGAGCCGCTGAGCGAAGTGAGGAAGCACGTCATCCACTGACTTCCCACTGCCGAACTGGATCACTGTGCCTGTGGCCTCGATGACGGCCACCCGAACCTTCCAGTGCTGGTGGGAGATGGTCTGCATCAGGGGGCCGATCAGAGACTCCGACTGCATGTGGAAGTGATCTGTGGGACAGGGAAGGTCACCAGTTACCAGTGCTGCTCCCTCTGTGCCTCCGCCCTGGCCCAGTCCATGGACACCCAGGAGGACTTCCCTCCTCCCCCACCGAAGTCCCTGTGGCAGGCATGGCATGAGGCTCAGGTCTGCCAAGCACCGCTTTGCATGCCCGGCACCAGGACAGGCGCAGAAACAGGCGTGCAACCCAAAGAGCACCTCTAAAACTCAGGCTTGGGGGACCAGAGAGAAAAGTCTGGAGGCCTGAGCCCACTTCAGCTGAAGATGGGAGAGTCTGAAGCTGCTGACAGCTACAATGTGTACCTGAGAGGCACGCTGACCAAAAGAAAGAAACCGAGCCAAGAGGACACTGTCCACATCCCCACACCCAGCCGTGCCCAAAGCCAGGTGCCCAGCACTACTGCAGGAAACTGGACCAGCACAGCTTGCTTTAGGCAAAGACACTGCACTTCCTACTTGGAAGGCCCTCACAGGAAGTCAGAACCAGAGGGTCTTCAGGACGGCCAGGCTGACCCTCTGGTTTTGGACTTGTGGCCTTGGTTCCATCTGCTTGAGGCCTATCTGCGAGGTCATTATTTCAGTAATGCTCTGGGCAAGCTCTTGATCCAACGCTACCCAGTGTGGCGGGATCCAGAGAGGCCGGGCACCCAGGGCGGGCAGGGCAGAGAGAGGTGTTGACATGGGAGGCGCTCCAAGCAGAAGAAACACTCCTTCACTCAACAATCAGGGAGCACCTCCTCCCGGCAGGCACTGTGCTAGTGCTGGGGGCACAGAGAGGCACTCCCGCCCTCCTGGGACTTACAGTCTAGGGAGGGAGCAGAGGCTGGGAAGCAGTAAGCAGCAGCGCCTCCGGCTGGTGCCTGGACCAGGGGGAGGCGGGTGAGAGGCAGTGAGGAACGCATCAATGGGTTGTCGTTCCCAACGGCCATCTCCAGCCCAAACCTCTTCCCCAGCTCCACTATAATTCTGCGCTATCTGAATCCAAGGTGAACACGACCCAAGATGGAAGCCTCGACATGACCTCAGGCCCTGCTTCCTTTGTCTCCTGTCCACCCAAACCTCCTCCTCCCTCACCCCACTCCCAAGTCAACAGGAAATCCTGCCAGCTCTACCTTCAACACATCCCGTTTTCCCCATCTCTACTAGCAGACTGCCCCACCCAAGTCCAAGCCAACCTCACCTAAACACGGATGAATTATGGCCCCCACTGGCTTCATTTCCTCTGTTGCCACCGCTATAACCCATTCTCCACAAGCATCTGAGCAATTTTCTGAATTCCAGAATCGGAGCCTAATAGGCTCCCTCTCCACTGGCTCCCCACTGCACTTAATACTAAACTGAGCCCCCACCCCTTCTCCCAGTCGCCGCCTCCTTTCAGCTCCTCCGATCTGACAGGCTCGTCCCTCAGGCTTGCCCGCTCCTGACCGCACGCGGCGGGTCTTCCACTTGGATGCTCCCTCCTCCTGGAAGCCTTCCCAACTGGTCTAAGCAGGTGCTTTCCCTACCATTTTACACCCCCGCCTGAGACAGCAAGGACAGGTGACTGGGGCAAGATCCTGCAGAAATGGCTACTTAGATAAAGGGCATATCCTCATCGGATTAGTGTTTTTAAAATAATGAAATTTGAATTAAAGGGGAGCAAGAGTGGAAGTGGCCTCCCTTCATTTAGGACAGGGGTCCAAGCCAGGGAGAAGACAGGAGGCCTCCGCAGAGGAGTGAAACGTGAGCCTCGGTTCTCAGTGCGCTTCTTTAACGCCTGGGCTGGTCACCCCGGCGAGGGGCAGCTGCCAGAGCGCACCCCACCCCAGCCAGCTTGCCGCGGTGGTCTCCGGGAATGTGCATTTTGAGAGCCATCGGACGGAGGGGGATCCCGGAGGGGCACCCCGCTCGGGGCCGCGCCCCCCCCCACCCCTGTC